TTATAAAAATATCATAATATCGTTATAATTCCTTTTTTTTTTTTGAGTTGTCCTTACTCAATTCTTTTTAAAAATAAAACGTGTAAGATTCTCTTCGATATCTATATTTTAATCGCGGGAAAATATGTTATAAAATGTCTCCTTCCCTTTTTTTCTTTTTAGAAACTAATTTCTTTAAGACCAATAGAGAAAAGCTTCTTCTCTATTCAATTATTTACGATATTTCTTCGATGAAGATGATATAAAACTGGGATATTTTTATCGATAACTGTTCAAAATATTATGATGCATATATCGCGAATAACAATCGAATATATATTAAAGATTAGAATGAAAAGAATCTATAAAGGATCGTAGGAAGGGAGGATTCTCGCGCTATATCGTGGATTTCTACCCTGCATGATTCGATTGGCCATTGAGCGTGGTTCGCGTATCGGTTTGGAATCGTAAAACGTCAAACACGTTTCATCGGTTGCACCGATAAAACATTCCTCCCGTGTTTTATGGAAATCCAATGTATACTTTCAGCAAACGCACAAGAGAAACAAAAAAAAAAAAAAAAAAAAAAATATTTACAGAAAGTATAGAAGAAAGAGCTTCGTCCATTTAATCGAAATTAGTGGAAATGGATTTAAGAACGAAGAAAGAATCAGGGATATTGGGCAAAACAATAATCGAAAACGAAGAATCGAAAATTTGAAGGGTCGAATTTTCACACAGATTCGCCGCCAATTGTTTTGAAATATTCCAGAAGGGATGGATAGTGGTAAATGTAACGAGGAGGGACGTTCTGTTCGTTAATTTCCTGTTTGCAGAGATGGTTCCTTGGGGAACGTGTGAGGGGACGATGAAATTACCCGAGCCGGCTGGAGCTTTTTAACGTAACGAATATTTAAAGATCGCACGGGTAACGAGGCGAGCGCACGCAACGAAACGCTCGCCATTCATGACGAGCTCGAAACCAATTTTCATGAAAGCGTCGATAATTTTTCCCACGATCCAGAAATCGATCGTTTGGCCACACGGTTAACGTCGTAGAAAGTATAGATAGGTACTCGTACTCGTTGTACCGTAGACGAGGAAGACGACGAGAGTGGACGTGACGTGTAACGCTTTCGAGTGTCGCAGAAATTTGCCCGCCACTAGATTTTCTCGACACATTTTCACGACGCGTGTGACGTAATTTCAGTTTATGTCACGAAAAAAAAAGAAAATTCTAACTTCAACAGCGATCGGAATTGGGTTTTAATAACAATATTTATATAATACTAAACCTATCTACACGTCACAAATTATATCAACTCGTGTACTACCATATAAATATAAATGATGTAAACAAATATCTCGTACGCAGATTGATCGAATTCATCGAATTTCGATTACACGATCATCACACCACCTTATCTCCCGCCTTTTCTTTTCTTATCCGATAACAACCGACAAGAGCAACATAATATATTCCCAATCCGGTGGCTCGACGTTCTAAAGGCGACTATCAAGTTGCGGTCGTCTAATTTACGATCACGGCAAATGGACGCCGGTTTTAGCGGACGGTGGCTTCGTGGCCATCCTCCACCTCCTCCTTTCTCCTCCAACCCCCTTCCAAAACCTCTTTCGCTTCTCGTTTTCTCTCCACTCTCGTTCCCTCCCAGCTCCCTCGAGAGTTTGTTATCGCCGACGGGAGCAAGCAAAACGCGTGAATTTGGCGATCCAGAGTGCAACGATTAAGTGGCAAGAGGGGAGGGGAGAGGGAAGGAAGGGGGAGGGAGTATTTCGAATATTAAGCTCGGAGAGGTGGAGGGTGTTGGATGCTTGCAGCTGCTCGGTGGATTACTTGGATAAATCTGGACCCAAATTTGGCTCGGTTGAATGGTTCTGTACACGGGGAGGAGGGGGTTTGGATGTTTGGAATAGATGTTTGGGATGAGTTTTGGCCTGAACTTGGCCCGTTTCGGTAATCCGGTTATATCCGGTTTTATTATATCTCTGATATCCATTAGCGAGTGGTTTAATTGGATACGAGTCAATTGGAATATTAAATATCCTAATGGTGTATGCGCGTGCGTGCGTGTCACGATCCACGAGACATGGAACAATCGATTAGAGCGCGATCGAGTGTAACCTGGTGGCCAATTGGAAACGGTATCTTCCAATGACCCGGACGAATTCGATTGATCGGATCTAATCTCAGATTCGGAAAATCGATATCGTCCCCTTCCCCTCCCATATTGGCGGCATCCTTCTTGGTTAATAAATCAACGAAAGATAGACCTCCCCCCCTCCCATTAATCATACACGTAAAATCTAACTTACTCAAAAGAATCTATTTCCGATCTTACTTCCTGAAGAAATATATTACGCGTTATTATCAAGGAAAAATCGAAAGAAAGAAGATGAGGGGGTTTCCCAAATCTACAAGATATATCCTAAAGTTTCGAGAGAAAGAGAGAGAAAAAACGGTAAAATAAAATTTCGGAGGGAACATCTGTGCGAATAATATTACGCCCCCATTTGCGATATCTTTTTCACCGTGGCGGACCGATCGGTCGATGGTCCAAAGTCGACTGTCAGGCCACGGCGGTCGGGTGCTGGCGGCGTCCCGACGCCTGCGCCTCGCGCTCCCCGACTCCGTCAGACGGCGCCCCGACGCTGGTACCGTCGGACGGACCGGTCGGTCGGGCCACCAGTCAGCCTCCAGTGAGCCAGCCAACCTCTCTCTCTCCCTCTCGCTCGCTCTCTCGCGCGCACGTAGAGGCGCGCGCGCGCGCGCCGCCGCGTCCTCTCTCGCCCGCACACATACCTACATACATACATACGTACGTACGTACAAATACGTATTATACAGGGCCGCGTATACAAACACGCACACACATATACACACACGCTCCTGTGTGCAAGTTACACGCGCGCACATGCACACGGCCCCTCGTTCTTTCTCGCTCCATCCCACCCCGCCGAACATCCCTCCTCGTCGCGCGACGATCCTGCGAGGAGAGGTCTCCATCCAGCGAACGACACGAGAGGGAGTCCGAGTTCCTGGCTCGTCCCTCGCGGCTGCAGTGCGTTCCCAAACATCCACGAGGCAAGCTCGAGGAGGCGTCCGCACGTACGCACGCACGCACGCACGCAACACCACCGACCACGTTCAAGGAACACGAGGATCCTCCTCTCCCGTCTTTTCTCCCGTCAACAGCCGACGGACGGCGCGTTCCACGTTCGCGGCGTCCAACTCTGTCCCCTTCAACTCGAGACGCGGTCAGCTTCGTTTTCCTCCCTCTCCCCGTTCTTTTCGCGAAGAACGAAGGATACGTATATATATATATATATTTGGAACACGGATCTCGTCTGTATTTTTCGCATCTGTGCATCTCGCTCCAACCTCGCTCGTGGCGAAGAAGAGGAACGAGTTTCCCGCGCGTGTTATTTACTACTCTCTTGTGCTGCTGCTTGTGCTCCGTTCGAGGGGATTCGTTCCGCGAGGATCGTGCGTGCGACGGTGACGGGCCTCGCGACGGAAAATCGTGCTCTCGATCTCGGCACACTCGGGACGAGTATACACGTAGTGAAAAGGAGTCGTGGAGAGTTGTTGTTAACGAGGATCGAGGATCGTCGTCGGTGGAGAGAGCGGGTTCCTCCCATGGGAGATGATTCGAAGGGGAACGAGTGGCGGACGCCAGTTCGGATGGAGAAGGTAGCAGCGTGACGTGGCGAAGGACGAGATCTTCCTCGACCGGATTTCGCGACGAGAGACGTGGAAGGTGGGAAGCTGATGACCAGTGGCTGTCGGAGGAGTTAGTTTGTTCGAGCTCTCGCTCCCGTATTGAACGTTGGGTGATCAGCTGACGAACACACCGTGTGTTTCTTTGCTTTTTTCTTTCCTTTTCTTTCAAAGGGGGGGTGATACGGTTCCGTGCGCGAGAGGACGAGAGGAGGAGGGTTAAGGTTCGAGGACGGACCAGGTGTGCGCGAATGAATCCTGTTGATCCTCGCGTGTGAAACGAGGAAGAGGGGTGGAAGGGACGGTCGAGGGGACGCGTAGATCGACGCAATCGTGTAAATATATGGTGTACGGATGATGGGTCGAGGACGCCGACTCTGATCCGAGAAGAAGGCGCGTCTCTCTCGGATGAGATCTCCTTTTTCTTTTTTCCCCCCCTCCCCTTTCTCTCTTCTCCTCTCCTCCCCCCATTCCTCGTACTCCCTCCCTCGAGCCATTTTCTCGTGCCACTTTAATAAATAATAATTCAAATAACGAGTAACGAATTAACGCGTAACGAGTAATTAATAAAAAAAGAAAAAAAAGAATGATAATAAATCGATTTACGATACGACTAAGGACCATCGATCGGAGAATCGAGCCTCGAACGTGGAGTTAGAGAGAGAGAAAGAAAATTCTAATTAAATTCTAACGTATGTGTAAAGGTATATAGATAAACTCGTTTTTACGAACCAAGCTGGTGTGCGCGATTACGTGTGCGTGTGTCTGTGCGTGCGTAGAGTTGAAATAATTAAATAAATAAATCTGTGTCGCGCGTGTTTCTTTTCGTTTTTTCCTCGCCGTCGTTTTTCTTCCCTCGTCGTCGTCGTCGTCGTCGTCGTCGCGTGTGTAGTTTCCATTTCTATTTTTCTCCCCTCGCGTTAACAGGGCGAGTTTGGACGCGTGTTTAACTCGTAAACAATTCGCAAAAAAAAAAAAAAAAAAAAAAAAAAAAAANAAAAAGTCGCAAGTCGGAGCAGTACGGGTATATAGTATCCAAGCGCTTAACCTTTTTTAGCCGTGGCGCGTTAATTAATTAACTTGGAGGGCGTATCGTTTCGAGAAACGGGCGGGCGGGCGGGCAGGCGTCGAGAATCGCGAAATATCTCGACTTGTCCGAGCGATATTATCGTGCGAGTGTCGGGCTACATGCATGTCGATTCCAAACCCGATAAATTTCGCGGGAGAGAAAGAGACAGAGAGAGAGAGAGAGAGAGAGAGAGAGACAAGATTGAGGCGCGAATCGTCTCTCGAGCCAAGATCGAGATCGTTTAAATCTTAAGGGAGAAGTTTATAAAAAAAAAAAAAAAAAAAAAAAAAAAAAAAGGGGGACCAATTTTTCACGCCCATTCTCCGGGTCTGGTTTCTACTTCTCGCCCTCCTCCGCATCGCCGACCTCTTTTCCTCCACTGTACGTCCACACCTGACTAAACACCCGTCTCGTCCACGCCTTTATCCCTTTATTCCGGACTCCTATCCGCGAACCTCTCTGTATTTCTCCGCATTAATTCCGTCATCGTCGAGAGTCCGCGACTCACGCAAGCAATAAATCAAGGGCCAAACCTCTCTAACGACAGTACCACAGTAGAGGGTGAACAGGTGTGTAGGTGTTATGTAGCGATCGCCTATAAGAAGAGAAGAAAATATAGAAAAAGAGACATTCGTGCGTCGATCGAGGAGCATATAATAGCATAAAAAAATCGAATAAAGAAAAGCTGGAATAATTGCGATCGAATGAATTAAAAATTTAAGGAAGAAGAGTGTACCAAGAGCGTACGCGTGGAGCGTACTTTCATCTCCGCCTCTCTTCTCTCTCTTTCTTTCTCTCTCTCTCTTTTCCCCACTCTCCGACTCGAAGAGAAGAACTCGAGAGGGAGAGAGAGAGAGGAAAGGAAGGAAAGGATCGAAGCGGAGCCGGGGAATCTCCGGTCGAGAGAGAGAGAGAGAGAGGGTAACTCGAAGGCGAAGAGGGAAAAGAAGAGCTCGGCATTGTACCGTTTTCTTAACGACGATGACATTATCCTGAAACGGGCATGACGCCCCTGGCCTCGAGATGCGACGAGACCACCACCATCCTGCTGCTCCTCCTACTCGAGCTTGCACCAGGTGCACGCTGCTACTCGCGCGCGGCCACCACGCCCGCCTCGACTTTGTCGAGATAGCATCTACAGTCGACGGCGAGGGTGCGAGTGATGCCGCTCCTCGGCACCATTATGACCATCGACGCCGCCGGTAGTCCGACTACGGCGTCCAACAGCGTCCTCGACGAGAACATGACGTGGCCTCGACCAACCGGTGGCTATACGTCTTCCGCTAACGAGGCACACGCGATCGACACCGTGACCATCCTCACCGACGACCGCCACCGACTTTCCACGACCGACTCACCCGACCACGTGGCCGCGACGACACTCGTCGATCGCCGAACACCCAGCGTCCCGGCCGATCGACGACCACCGGGGACCACCGAGGAGGAACAGCAACCAACAACCTCGACCACCACCGACCACCACCTCCTTCCCACCGAGCAGATCGAGATCGAGATCGAGATCGAGAGGGGGACGACGATCGGATCGGGAGGACGACAACCGGCGGAGGAGGAAGAGGAGGAGGAGGATTGTGGCTGCGGCGGATACGAGGACACGAGCGAACTGCCGTTCCTCGTGGCCGGCGAGGACCTCGAGCCGGCCAGCAACGGGAGCGTGGACGGTAGTAGCCCGGCATCGAGAGGTATCGAGGAAACGACGAGCACGGGGGTCGGTGGCACGAGCACGAGCACGAGCACGAGCACGGAAGACGCGGAAGGATTAAGGGAGTTGGAAGTGCTGTTCGGGTTGAACGGCATAATGGAGGACCTGGATGGATCGTTCAACGACTCTTTCAACGAGAGTCTATTGTTCCCGTGCAACGGTAGCCTGTGCAACGAGACGTACGTGGTGCTCGGGGAGAGCCTGTACCCGTCCGGGTACACGATCCTTCAAATAGTTCTGGCGTCCGTCCTTGTCACGCTGTTGATGATCGTGATCGTGGTCGGAAATATGCTTGTGATAATCGCGATCGCGACCGAGAAGGCGCTCAAGAACATACAGAATTGGTTCATAGCTAGTCTGGCGGTGGCCGATTTCTTCCTAGGCCTGGTGATCATGCCTTTCTCGTTGGCAAACGAGATCATGGGATATTGGATCTTCGGCTACTGGTGGTGCGACATTTACTCGGCCATGGACGTGTTGCTGTGCACGGCGAGCATCATGAACTTGTGTCTGATAAGCTTGGACAGGTACTGGAGCATCACGCAGGCGGTGGATTATCTGAAGAAGAGAACTCCCGCAAGAGCGGCACTCATGATCGCGCTTGTGTGGCTCCTGTCCGCCCTCGTTTGCATCCCTCCCCTCCTCGGGTGGAAGAGACCCACGCCGGCTGAAGAGTATCCCAAGTGTAAGGTAAGCGATCCTCTTTGAGATCGAAAATATTTACGAAAATATTTCGTACCCGATCGATAATACGAAACCGATTATCATGTATGTATCGCCTTTGCTATTTTTTGCAAAATGGAATCGATTATCTCGTAATTATGTAAAGAGGATAGACTTGTAACTTTTTAATTTTCCTATATTATTAATGATATTTCGCAAACCAGATTCCGCGTACAATCAATACGATTCTGCTTGGAAAAACGACGCTAACGATAAATGTTATAAAAGAAGTAGACATCGTGGCCTAGCAATGAACAATCGCGAATATCTCGATATAAATTTGTCTGTTATCAATTGCGGTACGGTTAAATGGGCGGCGATCTTATCTTGGGCGAGATGCAGCTGCTCGAGTCAGAGTTCCCGGGAGTGGTTAATGTTTAAAACACAATTTACTCGGTCGTATTTGAGCGAACAGGGGCGGGTAATACAAGAGTTAATTATTTCCTCGAAACTGGTTGTTAGGTGGAGTAGATGGTCGTTGCAGATGACAGATTACGAGGTCGTGTTTCGTCTTCCAGACGAGGGATTAAATCGGTCGTAACGAGGAGAGTAACGCTCGAGGGAAAAGAGAGAAAAAGAGAGAGAGAGAGAGAGAGAGAAAAGAAAAAACTAGGAAGAAATTATATCTCGTTTCGAGGATAAGTTTATCGGTAATTTATTTATCTCCGATGATAACCCGATGGATCGTGGTTACTTGACCGTGTAAACCGTCCATTTATCGCCGATGAATCCACTCCACTCGCGCACTTGATTACTTCCAACGGATGGATTCATTGTTAGATCGGCAGAAACGATGGGAGAGGAGGATAGGGAGAAATTCAGATTTATCGGATCAACTCGAGTCCCTTTTACGCGATCGCGCACGGTTAACGGGTTGCATTGTGAACCATCTTGAAATTCTACCTACCTTTCGATGTCGAGCTCCTCTCCTTGTTATCGTCTTTTACAGCTATCTGTTACGCCATCTACTCGCGTCTCGAGCGCTAAATTAACGTAGACGAATTTCCGTCCTTAATTCCTTTCTTTTTTCAACGAGCGAAAATAAGTTAGTTAAAACGACGAACAAGATATTTATTTCTCAAAATAATTCCATAGAAAAATAATTTGCACGATTTGATTGATTTTTTCGTAAATCTGCGATAGATCGCGAAATATATTCATGGAAATTTGTAGAACATTTCAGAGGAAATAATATATGCACAGAGAGAATTGATTCATAAACTTTCTTTGAGATTGTTAACAATGTTAAGAAGCGAATTCGAAACGAAACTGCGTTTCACCATTTTCACCATCGGCCAAAGCCACGTGAAAAACTTCAGACAGCGTGAAAAGGAGAAATTCTATCCGCAACACGGATAGAATTTTCTCGCGTCCTGCCGCGATGACAGCCGCACAATCGCCTGCCCAGCCGGCTTTTATGCATCGGCGAAACTCACACCTCGATCCTCGATCCTCGAAACCCGCTTATATCTGCCTCCACGAAACGCCCCCTCCCGCGAGATTGCAATTCTACGCCCGACACTTTTGGTCGTCGACTTTGACTCCTCCCCCCATTCCCTTTCCCAATTTCTTTCTTCCATTTCTGTCCCCCTTCCCTGAAACCCCTTTCCCCCCTTCCTCCCTCTCCCCCGCCCCCCCTCCGTTGTGGCGGCACAATTCGGCAACCATTGTCAGGATCCAATCGAACTTCCAACTCGAAACGCGAATTTTCGCCGACAGGAGGCCCAAGGTTTATCGTTCCCATTGATCACGTTGTTTGCTGCTAATTGAAAGCAGTTACGTCACTTGCGCGCACGCACGGTTTAATTAAGCCTCGCGTACACTCCGCTTGTTGGGAGACTTTTCAACGGGGTTGAATTTTTGAAGGCCTTCGAAAATCGGCCATTATTAATTATACGAGAGATCGAGGTTCGAGTTGTCGATGATTCTAATAATGGAGAGGAAAAAAGGTCACTGTCCCTTGGTGCAGCGAAATTTTGTGTGCGTTGTAATACGATTTAAACTTTTTTGAAAAGTATTTTTTTTTAAAAAGAAATATTTGTTGCCGAGTTTTCTCGAGAATGGATGTGAGATGGTAGGGAGAAATGTCGAGTTGCGGCTGACCTTTCGTCTGTCTGAAGAAATTTGATCTTTGGATGAAGGTGTATATATATATATCGTTTTGTCGAGACCCACTCATCCACCTTGTTTCTCAGACTACTGTTTTCTCATGGATTATTCCTTTTAAGGAACTTGTTGCAAGTTTTTCAGGATAGATAACATGGAAAGGGGATGCAAAATGTCAAGTGTTGTGAGTGACCTTTCGTTTGCAAAGAAATTCGATCGAGGTGACTACTCGTCCAGATTCTTTCTTTCTTTCTCTTTCTCTCTTCCTTGGATTCTTTCATTAATGCTCATTTCTTCGTGAAACTTGTTGCAAGTTTCTTCGAGTAGATATGAAAGAAAAACGAAGAACATCGAATATTATCCGACCTTATCTCAACTATGAAAAATTACATCTGAAGTATTTGTATTTTTTGTTCGAACTTGATCGCTCAACACATCCGTTTCAGCATTTTATCAAATGAAACGTATACGAGGAGGTATCCACTTCAAAAATTTAGGTCAATCGAGTAGTAGCGATACAGAATTACAGAAACATTTTTTCGATTCGATAAATATACCGTATACCCTGCACTCTAACCTTTTCAACTTTTATTAACGAAAGAATCAGGCAACCAACCCTTACATCAAATTCCAAAATACCTTAAGAAATTCAAATCCATCAAATCCACACGGAACCTAGAAACAAAAAACTCGTATTTCTATATCAAATTCTATTCTATTTCTACACAGAGCATGCATTTCATTCAACTTCTGTCCACTTACAACCTCTCCACTTTTCTATTCTTCCTTATCAAGTTAATACTTGCACTCTAAACTAAAAAAAACACAAACGCTTTTCCACGAAACTTGAGCGTGAAGCAAGTTTCCTCGAAACAGACATCAAAAGGAAGGCGAAAAAAAAAAAAAGAGAGAAGAAATCTCATTTCTTCGTATCTTAACCGAACCGAACTTATCGCCTGAGGCGTCCAAAAGGAAGCATGTCGTGACTCGCGAGCGAGTTATTACGCGCACGCGAGTCACGAAACTCGATCGCTCGCGAAATTCCTTCCATAATGAACATGAAAACTACGGCTATAAGGAGAGAGAGAGAGAGAGAGAGAGAGAGGGAGCGTAATTGGAGGAGTGGATAGATGAAATCGGGTGACAGGGACGACGTGGAATCAACGTGGCTCTGAGCTTATCGGGCTAAGTCGCGCGTGTTGACGGAAGTTGGCATTAAGTTGGTTGGCGATACCGACTCCTCTCCCGTGTAAAATCCGACTAGGGCGTCATTAAGAGGCCGCGAGCACCTGTAATGCGAGAACAAGCGGCCCGTGTCCCCTTTATTAAGACACTTTTCTACCCCTCTCGTATCCTATTAACAGGTTTTATCGCGTGGCGAACGGGGGGATTGATACCCGTGTCTTTTTTTAATTTTCTTTTCGTGATTAATTCGGGAGATCGAAAGATCTTTTTGTAGATCTTGGACAAGAGTTTTGGATTATTGGAAGAAAGAAAATATATATCGATAAATTGTTTTACTTCTTGGACGGTTATATACGATAAATATATGCTTATTTATCCGGTTAACGTACCTCTCGGATTCTCAATTCTGTGAAAATGAAAATGCAAGAAAGTTAGGACGTATTATAGATGTTGCGTGTTAGAGTGTTGGAGAAGGAGAATCCCTATTATAGTTCGCTAATATTTATGGCTCTATTATACGCTGGATTTCGAGATTCAGAACCCTAGTTCGCGTTTTCCTATTCCCTTTCCCCCTATTTAGGACTTAGGCCAACACAACAAATGCTCATCCTCGGTATAATATATCCCCGATATACAAATCTCGAATTGCTATTCCAATATCTCGAGAAGCGAAACGTTCTCGAATATTTCAACCCCTTACATCGTCGTTTAATCAACATTTTCGAACGGAATACTCGGCTACGATACTTTCCGCTAAATTATCCAGCTAACATCAGAGAATCGGTGGAAAAGGCAAAACCCCCTTCTTCTCCCTCCCCCTTAAAGGCGTTCAGGTCTACGAATAGCCGACGAAATGGCAAAAGGGCGAAACGAGATTAAGCGACCAATGGAGATGCACAGAAGTAAAGGAAAACGCCGTCCGTCTTTCGTCCGCCCCCTCCCTGGTTCTGCAAAGAGCAGGCAAGCGGTAATCGCGTTAAAAGATTGAAACGTCCGTCCCTTGCCCCCCCCCCCCTCCCGTCCTCCATCAGAGTATTTGTAGTCCCCGTTCATTTGTCCGCTTCAAATGATTCGGCAAGATCTCGTCTCCACGATCGAGAGTGTCAAGCCTCAAGTAATTACAGGCTGTGGCCGCGAGACGGCGGTGAAAAGAAAGAAATGGCGGAGGGAAGATTCATAATCTTGATCCTTAAGAATGTTTGCGCGATGGTGTGAAATTAAGGACGGCCTTAGAAATTGTGCAATCGTCTCGTTTGGAAACGGATTGCGGGATACATTGCGACGTTGCAAAAAGAAAAAATGGAATCTTCTCTTTCACCCAGTCTAATATTCGGAGGGGAGGAAAAATTCTAATCTGCTACAGGGAATCTGTAGTGAATGGGGACTATTGTTGCCATTCACGTCGCGGCTTTCGAATATAATCTCTATTCTAGTGGGGATGATACGATGGTCCAGCGTTCAGATTGCTGTTCAGTTTGCTATTTTGTAGGAAGAACGATCGAGATTGGCAATGGTGAGAGCAAAGCTGGCGGAATGGAAGGTCGAGAAGGCTTTAAGTCTCTGTTTCGCGGCGTTTCGCGGTGCGGGTCCATCCCCATCGGCAGGGGCCTAAAGTTTCTCCAGCTTCCTATCAATTTTCCTGTCCATACAGATTTGCCTTCGGCAATTGGTTGTAG